GGAGATTGCAGCTAAATCTCCTCTGACCGGAAAACCAGAAAGAATACAATTTTGGCATGGCCGTAACTGAATAAATTAATGCTTTGCAGTGCTTGAACAAAATCTAGTACCAGTATGGGCTGAGTAAATCCTGGCTGTTTTTATAGCATAGGGGTTAACAGGCTCAGAGCATCCTGAGTTCAAAGCCCAACTCTTCCACCAGGAAATTCTGAATACATTATTCCACTAAGTTTCATTTTTCTATGTGTGAAATAGGGAGGAGAATTCTTCCTGCTTCATAGGCATACGAGTGATCTATTGCTATGTAACAAATTAGCCAAAATTCCAAACCGTATGACCTATTATCGAAAGCGCTGTCTCACCGCACACGCTTCTGCTGTCTCCTGTCCCTCAGGCGCCAGTCAGTGGTCCAAGCTGCGACCAAGGGGAGCGGATGGCATGAGGGCTCCAATGTAAGGAGCTGGGACCGGGAGGGGGGGGGCTCTCACAGTCTGCCTAGCACCGTGGAGCTGTCGCATGGGATAACTGAGATTGTCCTTGTAGTTGGCTGTCTTTGCCAACAGCAAGTATCCGCAAGATTTAGCTGTTTATTAAATGTTTTGCATGTTATTCTATAGGCACCAAAACGCTGGTAAGAATTTTAGAACTAAAGAGGGACTTAAATGTGGTTTCAAAAGACCGATTTTATTGGGTTGTCAGGAAAGTCATGACACATTTTTGCATAGAAAAAATCATCATGGGGAACCAGCAGTTAGCGTAATGGCTATGTCGCTGGACTCCCACGTAGTCGACCGCGGTTTGTGTCCCAGACCCAGTGGCTTAAACTCACGCCGGGCGCATGTGCATGCGTGCCCAAGATTCCAAGAGGAGAACGGAGGAGAAGGGATTGCGGCGTGGCCATCCCCCCTGGGGGGTGATTTCTCGCTTTCTGTCTCTATGTCTCTCTCTGTCTGTCTGACAAGCGCACGCCCTATAGCAAAAACGTCTCAAAAAAAAAAAAAATCACCATGACTTTCTAGACAACCTAATATATGAAAGACAAAATCAAAATGGGTTCGCACAGGAAAGGTTAAGAGGCTGGCGTGAGGCTCTCGGTTTCCGAAGGAAGACCTTCCCAAGATACAGCCAAGGCATAGAAAAGGCAGAATTGCCTGGTACTTACGGCCTCAGATTCTCGAAGGACACCATTTGGTTTCAAAGTCCAGCTGGTCCATAAATAACCTATCTTTGCTAAAATGTCTTCATCTGTAAGATGCGAAAGGTAACCACATGTACCCCAGAGTGTGCCCGTGAGGGTTAACTACTCCATTTGCAGCTCTTACAACAGTGCCTGGCACAGGGTCACCCTCAGTCAAGCTCGGTTTTAATAAAAGAAAGGAAAAACATGTCGATATTTCCTATGAGTAATATATACAGGAAACACTGAAATCATTTGCTGAATGATTTGTCACATTTCAATTTTTAAAAACAGATGTGTCCCATGAATAATGAGATATCGGGGTAAGAAAGAGCTATCGGGGCAGCCAACGGCAGGCTAAGGCAGTTGGATCCCTCGTGGTCAGCCACGAGGTCGAGTCTCAGACCTGGAGGCTTGGAGAACACGCTGGGCACATGTGAGTATGTACCCAAAATTCCAGGAGAGAAACACAGCAGAAGGGATCACAGTATGGCCAATCCCTCAGTGATTATTTAAAAAAAAAAAAAAAATCATCCCCCGGGGGAAGGTGATTTTTCCCTCTCTCTGTCTCTGTCTCTCTTGCTCTCGCTCTGTCTCTCTCTGGTGAGCTTGCATGCTGTATAGCAAAACTAAAGAGACAGAGAGATTAAAAAAAGAAAAAAAAAAAAAAGAGAGAGAGAGGTAGTCAGGGTGGCTCTGCATTTCGCCCCTGAGAAATGAAGCTACGGTGACAGCGTAGGGCAGAGTACGCGGGTGCAAGGAGGAAGCTGCAGTCTGGCCTCAGACACCCCGAGCTGAGCTGCCTCGGCACCAGCTCCCAGGGCACACCGCCCTTCAAGGCGTCTAGGCCCGGCGCACGCCTGCCTCGCCTG